GAAGATAGAGAAAGAGAGAGAGAACGTGGGAGGGAGGGAGGCCCTAAACCCTTCATTATGGAAACCTCAATCCAACATCAAAATTTGGTGGGAAACACTTGGTCAATTTCGCCCAAGAGGAAGCAAATGAGAAAGAGTGGAACAATTTATTTTTGGGGCACGATTTTGCCCTAGACTTGGTTATCATTTTAATTAAAAATGTAACAATTGAACAATTTAAACATAAGTCCAAAAAAGCAAGGTCTTAAAACTCAACATATCAGCCAATATTTGGAGACTGACATATCCGTCGATATGTTCTACATGTCCCTACTTGTCGCGGTATTTTTCCTCAAAACTCTATACGACATTAGAAGCATGATATTGTGGCGTCGGAGCTCCCAACCTGACTCATCCGTCACGTTCGTGATGGCTGCCATTTAAAACCTTGCTAAGAGCAACAAGCTTTCATACAATACCTGTACTTTCCTTGGGATTTCAATAAGGTGCTTTTACTACAGATTGTAGTGATATTAGAAGTCATGAAGTAACCTTCTATAAGTTTTTCAATTTGGATATAGAAAACCTTATTTTTGGAGAAGGTGCAACCTTGATCTAACCTGATATTGTTGGGGTTGCGAAGGTAGTCAAACGCAATAGTTGCACAGTTACTAATATGCTAGTTGTATTTTAGCGAAAGAAAATATTACTTAAAATTTAACCATTTTAAAACATATAATTAGCTGGCTATCCCTCAACGAGTGCAATTTTGATTTTATATGAAATATAGTAATTAGAAAATTTATTAATGGATTTATAATGGCTTGGCAAAAAAAAAAAAAGAAATTTGGCCATTTTGCTACACATTATTTAGATGATTTCCTTGCGTGATAATTTAATATTAATGAGTAATGACTTCTTAAACTACATTGCTCTCTATTTGATTGCCTTTGCTCTCCCACTGAATTTTAAACCTTGTGATAGTGTTATGTTATCCTCATGGATGCATAATTTATCAAGTCTATTTCTTTTCATCTTCTTTTTAAACTTTTTTTTGCAGCATTACTGTTGTTTTTATATGCCAAATATTTCATATCCTTGCTTGAAGTTCCTAAAATCTTTTTGGATGGTGCAATATTTTTTGGAATGAGGGCCAGTTTGGTATTACTGGAGCTTGTGATAAGTTGTTTATATAAGCAGCTTGTGATAAGTTTTTTATATAAGCAACTTATGGAAGCAACTAGTATACGTTGATAAAAATAGATGTTTGGTAATTATAGAACATAAGCTACTTCCAAAAGCAAGGTGTTTGGTAAAACTGTGCTTAAAGATCATTATAAGTGAAAATTATAACAATAAATGTATCTTTAACTATCAAAATTGAGAAGATATGTTAAGGATAAATTAGGTAAATAATGTCAAAATCTAAAAGGTATATATGGTATCACCACAACAAAAAGCAGAAGCTACTTTGAAAAGCATCATTAATGTTACTTCTAAAAGTACCTCCTTATAAGCAGAAACAATTACAATAAGCATGGAAAATAAGTTTTACCAAGCACCATTTTTCACTGCTTCTTAAAAATATAAGCAGAAGTAGCCTTGCAAAAACCAAATACCAAACTGGCCCTGACTTTGCAGGCAAAAATTCAGTGTTTTGACATCTTCATAATAATTTGTATTTATTTTGAAAATTAAATGCTTGGAGTTAGCAGTGTAGGCAGAATGTTGATATAGCTACTCTAGATTCATGGTTTTTATTTGCAGGTTGAGACACAAGTTGGCCTCATATTTCTACTTTTATTGTCATAAGCAACTCCAAATCGTTCAATTGATTGGGTATGGATATTATAGAAATAGATTCTGCAGAAAGTGAAGATGATATTGATCGTGCTTGGTCAGACTGTGAAGACCAGAATCATGATTTGGAAATGAACTTTCAGAACTATCCCCGGTTGAATAATAATGATAACTCAGCTTATCCTGAATCTTCGACAAGTAGCAAGAAATGGGCTGAGATACCTGTTATGAATCTGGGAAATACCAATAGAAGCAATGGAATAGGGGGAACAAGCCATGTGGCTTATGAGACTCCCAGTGGTCCACAATTAAATGGATATCATGAGGTAATATCCTGGGCTAACTTTGGATCAGATGGTCTCTACATTTTCGGTACTGATTTTTAAGTTTCTATCTCAGCATACTCAGAGGAGGATTCTTCCATATTCTTTTCAGTCATTCAATTCTAAACCTTCTGAACATAGCTCAAGGGCACGTGGAGGCACTGCTCATAGTCAGCAGAAGGAACCTAACCGGGCACCCAGTAGTGGTTCTCCAGTGGTGGATCTAAGTAACACGGACAATTATAGTCGTAAGTTTGATAACAAATCATTCCAGAATGCTCAAAAGAGAACTCTTCCACCTTCTCTTCAGCCAACAGTGCATAACAATGCATCAGAAGGGCCTGTTGACTACAAAGGTGATAGTTGTTTCTATAACTTTACTGGGACAATATCAGATTGATTAATGGCACTTTGTCTTATCAAAATTTGCATGGAAAATGTAGGGAGAAAAAATATGTCTAATGAGTTTGAAGCTGATGATAAGCGTAAAGCATCATCGTCAATGAGCGGTAAGTATAATACTGAGCAAAAACCTTCAACAGGCACCAGGAACATGGACAGAATCTTGGTTTCTATGCATAAAATATTCTCATTATGTTGTAGCAAAATCACAATTGATGGCATACATACAAACTACCTTCACCACTCAAAGCATTACATTAATTATATCGTATAGGACTAAAAAAGAAAAGCATAAAAATAGCTGATATAAATCTTATGGGAAATTTGTTAGGCAGGGAAATGATGTTTTATTATTTTTTTCTTTTTGTCTTTTGGCAGATGAGGTTCAAATATATAGAAGTGTTGGTACACATAGGGTCCTTCCTCCATCATTGATGAATGGGAAATCTGTTGATAATTCTATGCTGGTTGGTTCTAGTGATCCCATATATCGTTCTGGGCCTTCTGGTTTAGGGGAGCAAAGGCTTATGGAGCATGATGAAAGAGCAATATATCAAGAGGCACTGCAGGTATCCTCTCAAGATTTTTGTGTTGATTTATTACTTCATATATGGCATCATATGTGGACAGATGTTCTAAATTAATAGACTTTAAAGTTTAAAGTCCATTCGTCTAGCACTTTTTCTGTAGCCTATTCGGTTTGTCTATTCCAGGATGATTTAGGATTATTTATGGACTAATGCAAGCTAAAATATCAATTGTGCTTACTATCAATTCAAATGTAGGAGGGAAAA